ACCAGGTTTGCACACATCTCAGGAGGGATTTTGATCCACTCCTCTTTACAGATCCTCTCTAAATCCTTAAGGTTTCTAGGCTGTCGTTTAGCATGTCGTTTACCTCTATAGGATTGAGACTCCATGAACCACTCCATGGCCTTAATGTTCTTCTTCTAGAGCCACTCCTTTGTTGCCTTGTTGGTATGTTTCTGGTCATTGTCATGCTGGAAGACCCATCCATGACCCATCTTCAGTGTTTCCTTCCGTGTAGTTCGGGGCTGATCCCTCACCTTTCTCCTGATCATCCTTACCCCATGAGGCAAGATCTTGCACAGAGCTCCAGACGAAGGCGATTGATGGTTGTTTTGTATTTCTTCCATTTCCGAATAATCGCACCAACAGTTGTGTCCTTCTCACCAAGCTTCTTGCTGATGGTCTTGTAGCCCATTCCAGCCTTGTGCAGATCTACAATCTTGTCTCTGACATCCTTTGACAGCTCTTTGGTCTTGCCCATGGTGGTGGGAGAGGTTGGGATGGAAGATACAGATTGTGTGGACAGGTGTCTTATACACCTAACGAGCTGACATTAGGAGTAAATTCTTAAAGTGACAGGACTAATCTGTGTTCCACATGGGCACATAACCAATCTGTGGGAGCCAGAATCCTTGCTGGTTGGTAGGGGATCAAATACTTATTTCACTCACTGAAATGAAAATCTATTTCTTTATATAATGTGTTTTTTCTGGATTTTTTGGTTGGTATTCTGTCTCTATACGTTAAAATAAACCTACCATAAAAATTACAGACCCTTCATTTCTTTGTAAGTGGGAAAACTTACAAAATCAGCAGGGGATCAAATAAATATTTCCCCCACTGTATATGTACAGTTTCTACTATTATTAAGTGAATATAATGTATGCAGTATTGCACATAAGTAATGTAATAAAAACATACTTTTGAATTATTGTTAAATCTGACATTTTGTGTAATTCAATATTGGTTGACTGTTCTGTGGGAATGTGTGTCAATGGTGTACGTGTTACATGTATTGTGTGTTTTATAGAGAAAATGCAGAGGGCTCTGAAGGAGGAAACCCAGCAGTTAGAATACGATTTAAACGAGGAACGGTCTCGCTACCAGAATCTTCTTACCGAACACCTCCGACTAGAGGAGAAATACGACGATTTGAAAGAGGAGATCACACTCGCTGTAGTGAGTACACACTCATTCAGGGATTGCAAAACTTCAGTGCTTTCAACTAACTGGTGGGTTGTCTGAATGACTACTCAACTAGTGGGTCTTAAGAAAGCCCTGTATAACTAAACTGGTTTAGGGTCAGATCCTGCACACTCCTTTCATTACAAGCCCTCCAGTCTTCTGATGAGTCCTTTTTTTCTAGAATGTTCCAAAACCTGGTCACAGGCGCACAGACTCCACGCACAGCAGCAACGAATCAGAATGCACCTACAATTCAGAGTTTGCAGAGTCAGAGGAAGGGACCCGCGGAGGGGAGGTGAGATCAGAATGTGGAATGTCATTAGGTTGCTTATGATAGAATTTAAAGGGGTCATATGATGCTATTTTAAAGATCATTATTTTGTGTATTTGGTGTAACAGAATATGTTGACATGCTTTAATGTTCAAAAAACACATTATTTTTCAAATAGTGTACATTATTGTTCCTGAAACCACGCCTTCTTTCTTTGCGTGCACATTTGGGCGGCATTATGCTAATATTTCCACATAGTGACGTAGATATGTGGGGGCGTGTTAGAATGAGCCATTTTAGGTAGGTGTGGTTGACTCTAAACTTTTATAAAGAATATCTCTTTGGATTTGAGACTTTAGTCTTTGCAACTTTACAGATCTTCTTTATGCACCAAGAGCTTGTAACACTCCAAAGAGAAAGGAAAAATTAAAATCGCATCATATGACCCCTTTAAATTCCACTTTAGGCCAATTCTGACATTACACTTCTTTGAGTTTTTTAAAGGTCATATGCATAAAAGTATCATAAATTGGCATATATTGCGTGTGTAATTATGGGATGTGTTTCATTCTCTCTCCAGGACGTTTCCAAGGCCATACTAGACATGTCCCTGTTCCTAAAGCTGCAGAAGAGAGTATCCGAACTAGAGCAAGAAAAACAGTCACTGCAGAACGAACTCGATCGGAGAGAAGAGCAGTTTCAGCGGGCTAGAGCTAGGGTACACACACATACACACATTTACTTTACAGTACATACTTTTGAAATGAGGATGCACTGTCTGTTCTTATTTAAAGTTAATGACTCTCTCTAACCCAAATACTAAAAGATTGATTATTTTAGTCGTTTCAGGTTGTTGTTTTTTTTTGTTTTGTTTTTTTTTACATTTGAGGACACCCCAAAAAGAGATTTTGTCATATTTACTTCAGTTCTAGAGACAGTTTTGTCTCTTAAGTACACACAATTTTAATATTTTTTTAATGTTGAATTTACTGTAAAAAAATCAAATAAAAAAAAATTATTAAATAAAACAGCGACTGTGATTGCCAGAAATATACCATAAAAAATAAGGAAGTAATATTTTAAGTTTTACAGATGGAACTTCATAAAATGTTTACAGTTAATATATACAGTATATATATATATATATATATATATATATATATATATATATGCACAC